TGATAAGCGTTATAACAATCACAGTTATAGCTTTCGAAGTTTATAGTTATATTTTTAGCTGTGTGGAGGCGTTCTAGAAATTTCAGTCTTAGGTAACAATATCCGTTAGAGCGTTTACGTACACACATATTTTGTTGATTCTTACTCTCAATAATCTTCTACAACTTTGGAGAATAGGCGGGAGTTTGGCAATACATATTTAACTGTATAAGCTATGTATGTTTCCAAATATAGAGTTAATATAAACGAACGTTGATATTAAAATAAATACATAACAACAAATTCGTTACAGCAATGCTAGTGAGCTACGTTGTAATATCCTTTTTAAACTTTATTTTATTTTAAAACTAATATTTCACATTAACTATGTCTAAGGAAACAAAATATTTTGAACTTAACTTTTTCTGTTATTTCACATCATTGACTCTTGGTTTCAGACCTTTCACCATTATCTATTATTTATCAGCATAAAAGGGATTTTTTATTCTAAATTTTGTTTGCTTATTGTTAAGCACAAACATATACTAAGATAATAGATTGTTTCAACAAGTGAAACAACGACACATAGCAAGACAGAGGTCAGTTCCAAGAATCTACGACAAAATTAACATTAAAGAATGAACCCACTGACCTGTAGTGGTACAGGGCACAAGGATAAAACTACCAAGAAACTGAGTAACGTTTCTTATAATTAAAGCAAAATTATTAGTATATGCTTCTTTCATAATTACAACATTCACGCAAGAATTAAACGTTTTTGTGAGATTCAGATAAAGTTAGTTTTCCTGTTTAAAATAAATACTGTAGTTGTTCAGTTGTGTAGCGATGCGTGAAAAGAAATGTTGAATTTATCACGAGCCGGTTATATTATAATTCAAAGTATATGATTTACTATACTGTGTTTCGTGTTAACATTCAATCGTTACATATAAATCCCATTCATATACATATACTTACAATGTACTTAGTAAAGTAAACATATTTGCATTTTAACATAAAATGTTCAAACTCCAGATAAATGTTAATCACATTAAATGTAATATAGTACAATTTGACTTTATGGTTTACACACACACGCATTAAATGATTTTAAAAGAGTTAGGGCTTTTTTAACTCAAAGCATTCAAACTCTGCGTCTGAATATTGTCAACTAAATGAATGACACTGTAGAACAAAATCCAATCATTTTGGTCACTGTGATTTTATGTAGAACATTCACTCTAGAGTAAAAAACACTAGATCGCTAAGGCAGTTAGTGACTATAATCTTTGGCATAACGAACTCACGACATACATTTAAAAGTGAAGAATCGTTATTTTAAAGTGCAGCATATTTCATATAAAACTATAAACGACTGTACAACATGCGTAAAACTGTGTACACATACAGTCAATCGACATGGACTACAAAGTCAGTTCTACTTAACTGTTGATTGCTGATTTACACATCACAAACCTGGTAGTCAGTAGAGGCATTCCAGGAAATAGTGACATTACAGATGACAGTCAGTAGAGCCATTCCAGGAAATAGTGACATTACAGATGGGATTCAGTAGAGCTATTCCAGGAAATAGTGACATTACAGTTGGGAATTAGTAGAACCATTCCAGAAAATAGTGGCATTACAGTTGGGAGTTAGTAGAAACATTCCAGGAAATAATGACATCACAAACAATGCATTTCTGTATTTGTGCACGACAATAAATTCAAGCTATAGTAAATTAGTTTTTAATATCGATAGTACAAGTTTTTTGCGCATATACACTATAATTTTTGAAGCGTACTATTTCTTTCAGTTGTACATGTTTCTCTAAATTTGTAATGGTAAATGATAATTCTGTTTGTCTTATATTTTCATCATTCACGCGAAATATAAATGTTTGTAAGATTCAGACAGAGTATATATTTGACTTAATTATTCGTTTGATTGTTTGTAATTAAGCGAAAAGCTACACAAAGGGCTATCTGTGCTCTGCTCACCACGGGTATCGAAACTCGATTTCTAGCGTTCACCGTATCAACCGTGGTGGCGTTATAATGTTACGGTCAATACCACTATTTGTTGGTAAAAGAGTAGCCTAAGACTTGGCGGTGGGTGGGGATGACTAGCTGCCTTCCCTCTAGTCTTACACTACTAAACTAGGGATGGCTAGCGCAGATAGCCCTTGTGTAGCTTTGCGCGAAATTCAAAAAACAAACAAAACAACATATGACTCGTACACAGTTACTTAAACAAACCTGCGATAAACTATCGTTTCTAAACATAACTAAATTTACCATTCGCGCTATATTTAAATTAAAACAGTCGTGTATATCTAACAATTATTATAAAATATGCTTTACAACTAAAAGATTTTATGATCATTAAACATTAGGAATTAAGTTTAGGCTTACTAGCTGTTGAACGGATTTTTTATCACTGTCTTTGACCTTAAAGCTCAGATAAAATTAGTTTTTTTACTTTTTAACTTCACATAATAATACAAAATACTAAATATGTATTCATGGAATTCTCTTTTTTAAGATTAGACGGTCATGAAAGGGATTTTTAATTATAAATCAATTTATTATGCAAAATCATTATCTTCATATAAGGACTATTTGTCGTCTCCTCTATCTTCTGGACGGATCCTCGTTTGAAAAATATAATGTTTTTTCTTCAGAATATCAACATACAAACGCAGTAATAATTGGGAATATCAATGTGTTCATTCATATGTTTGGTCAGATAACACAAATTCTCACAAACAAGACATATAGGACACTCACCCAACACCCAAGTTATTAAATCTAAGATGCTCATTGATCACCTCTTCATTTGGAAAATCTCCAGAACGTAAAAACGTACTTGAAATTTGTGACTAAAGTGACAAATGTAACTTAGTCTTATGTATATCATAATATAAAACAAAAGAAATCTTGCATGTTCGGTGTGGTTGGACAGATTGACAATGTGTTCATGACCTTCCCTGTCTTTACTCATTTCTACTGGTAAAATTTTATACGTGATTTGTAGGGGTTGTGTCCTACTGTAGACATATATTTGCCTATTGCTGGGCATTAAAAAGTAAACATGCAAAATAATTAAAAAATTGAGAATTTCAAATCTACAAATATGGATCGCAAAAAAAGTAAGGAAACAAGACTGGAGATCTACTGCTGACAGTTTGTTCAGTATTTATTACCACTGCATATAGCACTATTTCATATAGCCATTGCTATTTGTAAATAGTTGGTATTAAGATAGCAGTTGTAAATGTTGTTGATAATTGGCGACTTACGCTAAGTGTATTGCTGTTGTCTATTTTGCATGCATTATTTGTGTCGCCTTATTCCAACAAGCTCTTGTGCACAACATAAACAACATACATATGTGTCATGTAGACCAAAAAGGTAAGCATGCTAGTGCGTCTATTTACATTGCGTTAATCTGTTTGTATTATCTTAGAAGAAACATTAGTCTATTCTCATGAGATTACTTTGTTGCTGCTCGTCTTTTGTTACATTACACTGTGATATTGATGGAAGCCAATTATTCGATCTTTGGTGATAAATCTTTGCCATCAAGATGGTCTTTCAAGAACAATTTTACATTTTGTTTGTTGTAATTGCATACCAGCACATGTGTTTATTCTTTGTTACATTTGTTATTTACTTGGAATAAATTCTGTGTGGTGCTTTGGTGGAAAAAAAGCCAATGCAGCAGTAAACTGTTGAAAAACATGTAACATTCAACTGAACGCATATGCACATATGTAGCTTAAAATTTATTCTCCATAAATCGTCAAAAAAGATACAAAAACAAGTTTAACCAAAATGTAAAAATCAAACCTTTAAAAGGAGTAAACAAACAATGCTGGAAATAGTGTCTAGATTATCTTCTCAAGCTAAAAATACCTATTTTGACTCCACTAAAACTGATAAGTACTGTAGACATGGAGTCAAAATAGGGATTTGTAGCATGAGAAAATAATATAGATACTATTTCCAGCCTTCTTTGTCTCTTTGCATTTTCATTCAACTTATTACTGTACTTTTTGACTATCCCTATTCTCTCTTTTCAAATTAACAACTTTTACTAATCTCGTATGTATACATATATATATACATGTTTTTTAATACAAAGCTACATGATAGACTCTCTGTAAGTATCGAACCTTCGTATTTTAGCGTTGTGAGACCTCCAGCTATCGCTGAGTCACCGAAGCTATTATCTAGTTTCAAATAGCTAGTTTCTTGGTTTAGTCTGACAAGTGAACTGTTATGTTAAGAATACGGCTTGCTGGTTATTTCATACATAGTCTTACTTGTTGACTTAGAGTATTTGGTAAAAGCAAACTCGGCGTCATTAATAAATGATATGAAATAAAAAAGGGTTATACCTTTATTTAATCATATAGTTTAATGTGTAATAAATATATCTATTCCTTTTTGTGTTCCTTGTATATAGATAAACCGATTCTACAGAACCTTCGTTGTTTTAGCCGTCGTAATACCCTAAAGGCATTGGAGAACCGTAGAAATACAGTGGTTGGCCGAAAAGCGAGGTTAAGCTCTGTCGGAGATACAATGCAGTTCAGCGATAGTGGCATTTCAGATTCTATGACTATACAGAGATTACTTCATTCTCCTCGACGGTCAATAGAAGGAATAAGCAATCACGCTTATACACTCTATAATGACAACAGCGAGTCTGATATGCAGATGAGTGTGTTGAATGAAACATTTTCAGAAAACATTCAAGATCACTTAAAACCCATCACTGATGTATGAACAACCTTTTTCGTAATGAAAAAAAAAAGGACCTGTGGAACTTTATCAGAGCTAAAGGTTTACAAATTCATGTGCAATTCGTACTCTTAACAAGTATTTTAATAGCATATGGTACAGAAAAAAAAATTATCGGGAAGAAAATCATCAAAATGTTAAACTCTGTTATATCAAAATAATCAGAGTATAACGATTTTTAATAATTAGTCTCTTATCAAGTATTCTAATATATGTGCTGTACAGAAAACGCTATCAGGAAGGAATTAATCCAAATATTAAGCAAGTTTTATAAAATTAATCTGAGTGCAAGGATTTGAAATAATTAGTTATATTTCTCTTTTGGGATTGTTTAACCAAACAGTATTCTTGAATACATTAATGTGATTTTTATAAATTTCCTCAGAATTTGATTTGTTTTTAAAAACAGTGCTTCACCTAACAATCCAAGTTATATCTTTAAAATAATGATTTAATATTTAAATTTAAGCATATTTTTTTACATATTCATGCAGGTTAACTCGAAGGTAATTTATATTTTATTGTGAACAAAATAAATTCTCATTTACCATCTATTCATCAAGTATAAAATAGGTCCTTATACTATTTAATTGCAGTCTGTGCAAACAATCGCCGGTAATCGAATACGCCTACCTGGCTTGGATTAATGTTACATCACCCATGAGTTAAACAGAAATTAGAAACTATACAAAACTCAGTCCTCACTACAGCATATAATGTTCCATGCACAACAAGTTCAGTTTTCCTACACAATTATGTGAACTTACAGCCACTCTACGACAGACTACTGAATAGATCGGTCACCTATTTTCGGAAAAACTTAAAAATGAATTAGTACGTTCACTACATTATACATGATAGAAATGAGCCTAAGTTCCTCTCCCTATCAATATGTACAATAAGTATAGCAATCAGCCACTTACTGTTAGACTTACTTAACCATATCATTTGTATGATGTATTCATGTATTATTAGGGTATTAATGTTAAATACATACTAAATGTATTGCCAAATGAACAAGCATTGGAATATATGGGACTATTTGTATAATGTAAGATTTTTACATTCCAAATGAAGCAAAGTGTGTACCAGTGCAAATTCTGAACGTTGAACAAAAATGAACGTGGCTCTGATAGGGGTAGTGTAATTATAATAGTGATTTTACACAAATACAGAACCTTCAGTTATGTGATGTTTAGCATTAAACAGATTTCTTAATTTAACAGTGACGACCTAAACGAATCACAGTAACATCAGTATCGGAGGGGGGAAGAAGTCTACATTGGACCTGACCCTCCCAGATCCAGATCAAAACCTATTATTACCTAACATGGTATATTATTAATGCAAATATTGATTAACTTTATCAAATAATTACTTTCACCTGAAATAAAGAAACATGATATACATTCCATTTTCGATTGGCAGTGTAATTACTTTATGAAACGTCAATTTCTGCATTAAATAAACAAGATATCTATTTTCAATCTTAAATAATGGCATTTTTTAACATAAACTGTCTTCAAATTTCTTCTTCGTGTACTTTCAATGATTCTTTCATGTCAGATCAACATATGTCCTAATTCGCTTTCAGAAAAATAAGTAATTTACATTCAGTAGTTTTCCATAGCATAATTGCCATGAGGATGGATCATTTCACGTATAACTAATTCTTCGTGATCAAATGTGTATGTATATATTTTTATTATAGGCATACTTTATTTCCTTTAGTTTTTTACTGATTCAGACCTTCGTTATAAACTGCTTTGTTTTTCTTTCTGTCACTATTTATCGTTTCTGAAAAATATCCTAAAACTTTTTTAGTAGGGAGTATCTAACTGGTGAAAATCTTCAGTGTTTTCCAGGGCTAACTTCATAACTTGGTTATATTTTCTGTTAATATATGCTTCAGGCATAATATTTGGTTTATTTTAATCTCTACTTCTTAAATAAACCGTTGATGGTCTGATGGTATAATAACAGTTTCAAATATTGTTTGGTATTAATTAGTATTTGGAAATTTCACATTATTATTTATCTGCGACCCATTTTCAATCCGATATATTGAAGAAGTTTTGTTAACTTACTAAATGTCTACACAAGATTATTTATAACTGGTTAATCAAAATTCAAGACCCTTTTTTGTTTGTTAACTGTCTTCAGACATTGACCTTTTCTCATTTTATAAATGTTTGTTTGTTAAGCGCAAAGAAACACAATGGGCTATTTGTGATCTGCCCACTTCGGGTGATAATTTTTAGCGTAATAATTCCTGAGGCCTACCGATGAGCCACCGAAGACATTTTCCAACAAATAACAACCTAAATATTCTTAGATTTGATCAAAAATAAAAATCGTTGTTTTCCATTGCTTATATCAAAACTAAAAATACATGTCCTTCACAGATAAATGTTACTAAAGAAGGAATATCGTTGATACTTAGTGTTTTTGTTGTTGTTGTTTTCAACAAATATATATAACTATAATACAAGTTTTATACTTAAGGAGATATAGATTTATTTGATTATTTGTGTCAGTCAGTAGCTGAAAATATGCTTAGGTATCATTTATACATAATACGTTTTATTTCAAGAGTCATATATGTGTTAGATATCTAAGAGTATTGTCAAGTTTGTAGTTTTGTTGCTTTATATTATATACAAAATATGTTATTTGAATTTTCATCCTTTTAAAATGAGTTCGTTTTCAACTCCCCCCCCCCCAAAGGCACAGATGCATGTCAACGGACTTACAACGCTAGAAACCAAGTTTCGATACCCGTGGTGGGCAGAGCACAGATAGCCCATTGTGTAGCGTTGTGCTTAACTACAAACAAACAAACAATCGTTTTAACCACCTTATCAAAACATTAAAAATAGCATGTATATCTTATCAGAACGGTAAAAAGGTTATACTTGACACGGATAAAAATCAAGATAATTATATTTGTCGAAGCTCAAAAAAATAGCGTGAAATTTATCTTGTATCAGTTACATAATGCAAAAGAATTTATTTAATCACATGCATCCGAATATCTTAATAAAGGGCAAATACAGTGAGTTTTCTCTGTCTTGCACGCATATGGTTTAATTTTTTCCTTACCCTATTTTCCATCACGATTAATTAGACCCAACTTGTTATAATTCTGAAACCATCCAAACACACTTAAATATTATAGCTGTCTAATAAGTTTCCGTTTCATAAATAATACATTCAAACATTATTGAAAAAAACTAATCGATGGAGCAAAGATTTAATTCATGAGCATTGTGACAAACCCTGACTGTAAAAATATAGTTTATACAAATAAACGTAGTTCTACGTAATCTTTAAAAGTAACTATTACTTAACAAACACAAAAATACGAAACGTTTTCGAAAGGTGGACCTTTCTTTTTCAGGGGCGACCTTCTTCAGTTAATTAGTGAACCTCTTACCATGTTATAGATATATTATTGGGTGTTTTAGTCAGTCAGTTTTATGTTGTGTCATAGTTACTAGAGAAAACTTAATAAACGATCTTTTAGTTTTATCTGTGAGTTAGGCTTATCAACGAATGTAGCCTGTAGAACTTGTGTGTTACAAGCGAATGAATAAATAACTCGTTAGAAATAAATGGACTGGACTATGCATTATTTTTATCGAATAATCAAAAATTAACCTGCCAAACGATAAAAGCCTTTACAACAACACAAATATACTTTCGTAATGTGAAATACTCTTGAACGTCATTTTGTTTCGCGTAGTTTTAGTGATTGTTGTTTACTGCGTTTTTAATATGTATTAAAAATATTCCTCCTGGACAAACTTTTAGTTGAAAATATTGTTACGTCTCTGGTCGTTAGTTAATTTCCCGTATAATTTCTTTCAGATGAAACTTTAGCGACACAAGTCCTTTCTTAAATAAAACTAGTTTATTCTTTCTCAATTCAACTTTGTAATACACTTAATTTCCACAGTCACCTTAACTTAAACACACGCTATAATTTACAACGAACGATTCACGCACTTCACTTACTTCCGCGCTTGACTCAATTGTCCGTCTATATCTTCAATCTCTCTGTCTGCTATACAATTCCGATTAATTGTCTGGCGCACTTATCTACAAGAATAGAGGGCGCCCAGCAAATACTGGATTACTCATGATG